CACACGTCGATGGTAAATATATTTTCAGCAGAAAAAATGATGTAAATGCAAAATGTAATGATTAAGGCAATCGTGTGTATTTTTCTGCCCAACAACATGTCTATTGTCTTTATGCTTATTGCAAGGTGTATAGATCATCTGGTAATCTCGGTAATGTCAATTACAAGAGTGAGGGAAAAGGGGGGTTGGAGCGTCCCATTTCGAAACCCCTCCGATTTGTTTAGTAAACCGGCAGATGCTACCTCTTCCCCTCTGAATAATTCTCATAAGAGAAGTGGATGAACAGCACAAGGGAGAGGAGCAGGGGGGCCGCGCTTTAAACTGTGCACGGCGATGATAAACTGGGTTGCTCTCCTCCTCTCTGTCAGATGGCTCTTTGCATCAGACGCTTTTGCATGACAGTCTCGGCTGGCTCTGCCTCCAGACTGCACCAAAGCTCTCTCCTCTCAGTGTGCCGCTTAGATGTAACCTATCCTTTTAGCATTTTCCCCATCTTTTGAACAGGTCCGGCGGGTCGTTTAGAGCACTATCAGTGGAATATATGGGTGTTTTCATCATGGCACCAATTTCCACCTTGGCAGCGCAGACAATACAGCAGAATCGATGTCACAGGACATTTTTGTTCAGCATCATCAGCGGAGGAGATCATCCTTGGTACCCAACCGGATGTACGGACTGTTTCGATGTTGTTTTGGGGGAAATGAGAGTTGATTGTAAAGGCATCTCGGCAAGGCATTTCTGTAAGTTGTTCCGCTGAATTGTTGCAAATGTCAAAATATATGTTTTCCTCTGCGTTTTGACACACTATTCTGTTTTTCTAAAGGGGGGTGCAACTAATTTAAATTCGCATAGACCTTAAGCCTAGGTAGGCTAAATATGCATGTATTTTGTTATTTTTGTAGCCTAAATAAAGTGCTATTAGGCCTACTAAATATGGGATTGTTATTATATAGCCTAGCCTATATTCTTTACATTTAGCACCTTCTCTATCCGTTATGTGACAATGTATTCTTGATTCTGTCAATATGGCTTCTGTTTATCCCCCAAACCAATGTGTGTGTGTGTCAGCTTTACCACATTGTATCGCCCACTGTATTTCTCCAATATTAAGCTAACCCCCTTATGATGCAGGTGCGTTCAGTCCCTCCACCTCCTAACCCACCCCGCCCGACCCCACAAAAAGCGGGGATGACTCTCGTTGTGCCTCCTAACCCCCCCCCCCCCTCCCCTCTTTCTTACCTCTGCTGCATTTTGCATGAGCTATCTAGGTCATTAGTATTTTAACGTATTCAAGACTTGACAAAGCTGATGAGAAGCCAGATGGGCCCTCTTCTATTTTTTTGTGGGAGTTGAGCAACAGGACCCAATGCAGCAAGCGCTGTCTTTTCGCTGCTGTCACTCGGGCCTGGCGTTCGTTGCATCAGGGATCGGGCTATCTATATTCAAGATACATAATAATATAGGCTTACATCTCATGCACTCGGGAGGTTACCACTGCCAAGATAGGCAGGCTAATGTAATATGACATAACAGTTATTTGTGTGCGTTTTTTTCTTATCAGTAGAGTTTGGTCTTATTATTTGTAATGTCCACCCGCATCTTTACCACGGCAAGGGGTGACAGTAATGCCACGGTGAATGACAATGCACGAGCATTACTTTATTAGATAAGACGTTTCGCCAGCTGGTGAAATACGTAGTCGTACATTTTGGTGCAAGATCGCTGCTTTCAAGGTTGCCCTCCTCACGCGCACTGCAACTCGTCAGGCAGTTGTCATTGTACACTAGCTATCCTGTTACAGTGACACAGAGAAAGACTAAAGGGGCCCGGTCTCTCCTCGTGTTCACAGCGGACCTTGATTTAAATGTCCATACAATTAAGGCACGCGGTGAATGCCAAGAGAGAGGGCAAATATCATCGAGATGTGCGTTGAGTGTGCGTTAATGTTTGCCGTTATAATGGGTCGTCAGACAAGCCTCGTACTTCCAAAGGTGAAAGGTATTTCTTGAAGGTTCTGTCCTGTGCGTTGTGTTAGCCATTTTGCAGGAAGCGATTGGAGCGCGCCATTCAATTCTCTGCTATAGCCTGCACTGTTTGTTAACTGCTGTAAAGTCGAGGTGAAATCTCATCCATAGAAGTGAGCACGCTGCGTCTTGCGGATAAGGGTGGAGTAGGAAAATTTTGAACTTTATGGTTTCCTAACTGGGACACTTAGAAGCTATAGAAGTGACTCTGGATGGTAATAAAATGCAAATTAACATGACAATGTTAAGTGAAGGACTCTGAAATGGATTGCATAACTTCCTATAATGGAAAGAAAGAGGCAAACACATGAATGCGCACAACGTTTTTCGTGATGTATGGTCAACCTGAGATGCGTAAAAGCAAATTCACAGTAGAAATCAGGACATCAGTGACATAATTCGTGTGGAGGAAATAGTAGTGCGGCCTAGCAGTGCATGTCAAATGGAATACAGTAGGCTATTGTTATACATGTTTCAGGTCAGAGTAAGAGGATTTGTGCAGTTATGTGATACGATGGACCTTTTCAGCCATGCAAAACGCAGTGATTACATTCTCTCATATCAGCAGGGATTCACAAAAGGGTTGTGGATTATGTGGATTACGTTTTGCATGCATGCACATTTTGCAATGTTCTGCTATTATGATTATTGTTGTATACCAATCTGTTGGCAATAAAATCTCACAATGCACAAAATAATGTTAAGAATATATTTTTTTAAACCACATAAATTACGCATCAGTTTAGCTTTTTTGGGGGTGCACTATGTTCAGACAATCCACAAATGTGAAACTATAAAATGGTTTGTCAAACTGCAATGCAGAATGCTGATAGTTAAAATGTGCATAATGAAACTCATTTTCTATATTTCTGATAACATTCCTGAAATGTTTCTGTTGGTAAAGTGCATTATCACAAACAGAAATAGTGACATAGCTTGTGTTAAATTAATAAATCAGTCATTTACAGTATTTTTCCTTTCGACAGATTCTGTATTTAAGAGAAATTAAATGTTGAAGACTGGTATCTTTTTGCAGGCAAATCGAACGAAGGAGCATAACCTACATTTGTAAATTTGCCACTTTTCCTCACAAGAATGTCCATGCAATATGGTGTGAACGTCAGCCTGATTATGGGTGATATGCCCTCTGAAAACAACTCGAGTAACAGGAAAAATGAATGTTTTTTATACTTTGTTTCGTTTATGTTTTACCTCTATGCCTTTGCATTTATAAATAAACCCACAAAGAGTGATTACAAGTACAATACCTAACGGTAAAAAGTTCTGCTTATTGTAGTTTGAGATAATAACTCATAGTACGAATAAGCATTCCAAAGCAATGAGCACGTTTGGTTTAAAAAATATTATTTATGCAGGCTATACAAATTTAACATATCTCTAATGATTTAATTGCTCAAATTAAAAGGCGTTCCAGACAAATGAAGACCGTACAATCATTTTGGAGACATATCATGAAGACGGTTGAAGAGTGTCCATTCTGACACCTACATTTAAAGTTGTTTTTAGGCTAGTTTATTCTGTTTCTTTGCAATAAACATTTATGGTTATTATAACACAGGATTTCAGATGTGATATTTTACATTCTTATCGAAAGAAAAAACAATGACGTGCAGACTAGGCCTAGGCTGCCATTATATCATATTTAAACACATTAAGAAAATATTGTATCAAATTATGTAACATTTCCCTATTCCAATTGGATAGTAACATTTTACACAGGCCTGACATGCCTGTATGCATCACATTAGGCCCATTTCATTTTGGGCAAAAAAGTTATTTCAATGCACTGATTTAAATTTGGCCTAGGCTACTTAAAAACATGTGGATATGTTTTTGGGATATGACACAAGACGCTGTGTTGACTTTCAATTAAAACATATTGTGACAAAAGGAAAGTTATGTATAATTCTAAAAGTGCAGGCAATATCTGAGACAGTTCAGTCCATACTCATGCAGCCAATATGAAATTGGAATACTTGAATATGCCTCAGTTTCTTCAACGCTTTTCTGAAATTATAGGCCTCAAACTTTGAGCGGACACTGACCGCAAAATTTGGTGAACTAAGTGTTATTTTTAATCTTTGGAAGTAGCTTAACTGAAGAGGCACTATGAGAAAGGCGCAAACAATACACATTTTATGATGCGTAAAAGTACACTGTGCGTGGTTTTACGCACCGCATTGAGGTAGGATAGGCCTGTATTTAACTAAACCTTTATACGCGCGGGTTATAGTTTTTTTGTATTGGCTAATCTAATTAGAAATCAGATAATTTGGGAGTGTACATTTATACCATACCAGAGGTTTTCTGGAAGAATTTGTATGGATGATAGAATGGTGGGCAGCCATTTTTTTTTGTCACGTATGAAGACAAAAATAGGGTGGGTTCCCTGCAAGATTTTGACAAAGACCATATCTCGGTGCTACCTTTCTGAGGAGATACATACACTCAATGCAAGACCTGTCCATCACACAGCGGCTGTGCTGACCTCCGTTCTGTGAATTTATAATTTTCACACACACACACACACACACACACACTTAAAATAAAAATTGTAATAAATTGTATTTATATTATGTTGGGAAGAAGTCAATGATCCTTATTTGGGTGGGCATTTCTAGTGGGTATGTAAGGGACACTGCTAAAAGGATGCAATGATTCATGACATTTGAATAGACCTACAACCCAATTTAATAGCAGGTAGTCTACTAATGGCTATAATAGATAACAAATGCACTGAGCTGTGTGGTCTACCTTGTGGTCATAAACAAAATGTCAGTTTGGTCGAACAACTCAATTAGCAAAAACAATGAGGCCTAATGGTACACTCATTTTCTAGGTGGACTTGCATTTACTTATATTATCGGTCTAATAACCAAGACCTGAGTATTAGAAGAAATTAATTCCGAATATGTTTTATTTAACTATATTTCCAACATATGAAATACATTCAAAACCGCATATAAACCAACAATACATAAAGCCAATACGGAATTCTAAAGTGCATTATGTTAAATTCTCATATCATTCAGAAACTTTACTTTTAGAACAAAGAACACTTATTACAGATAACAGCACTTCTGATTACGAAGATACATCACCTTAAGTGTAAAGGCATCTTTAAAGTCTCTCAACTAAATATAAACACACACGTTGGCTGGTGCCTACGCCATTCCTTCTACAGTACCAGGAACATAGGAGAAAATGGGAATGAACACAAACTCAAACACAGATACACACATCACAGAGGTAAAACAGAGACACAAAGAGAGGAGGAATTTTCTGCTGAATGATACAGACATCCCCATGGTGACACAGGATCCTGACACCAGGGGCTAAGTGACCAATAGGAGGCCAGTAAGGACTGTGCTGATGTCAGAATGAAGTGAATGAAGCAGTAACACAGCAGGTCCTCTCATATCAGTCTATTGTTATAGAATGATGTGAACTGTTTAACACTAAAACCAAACCAGAGATGGAGAAGGAGAGGAGCGAGGATGGATTAAATAATTCAGAGAAGGCGGCGGTGGCTCTGAGCAGATGGTAAGTTACTGTAGTGTTGGGTATGCTGGTGTGTGGTACACTGGGTGGAGATGAAGTTTTCAGCAGCCTGTTCCTGTCAGTGGAAGGAGAAGCCGGAGGCGGGGAGACCTCCACACCACTGACTCACAAACTTCAACACATCCTGGCACTCCGGGCTGTGAGTGGTCTGGGAGGAGGACACACACAGACCAGCTAATCACATATCAGATCACACACATACAGGGAACCACAGGGAAGAATGTGTATGTGTGTGTGTGTGTGTGTGTGTGTGCGAGTGCGTATTTGTGCCTGTGTGTGCATGCAAGCAGGCATACATGTAAAAAGTGGGTCTTCAAATCTCTGTTTGTGGACATTAGTCCATTTAACTAAATCACACCTCTGCAATCCAAATCACACACAGGAAGGATGATGATGAAACACACTGAAATGAAATGGGCCCTTCTCTGGCCCCCAAGACTCAACTTTACACTGTGTACATTCTAAACCTGCGTGAGTGCCTGTGATCAAAAGTGTGGATTCATAATAAATCAAACCCAGTGTTTCATGCAGTTAAGGACTGATGGACTAGCAGCTAAATCAGCAGAGGAGGTAACAAGCACAGTGATGTAGACTACAGAGCTAACATAACAAACCCCCTTCTTACTTTTGTGGCCATTATGAATTTATTCCAGTCATCCTTGTTTGCTGCCTTGCCAGGTCCTTTGAACTCAATCTTATTCCGCAGGACCGGATAGCCTAGGTTGCATAGAGAGAGAGAGCTTTCATTATGATTGCATTCATATTAATAGTCAACCAATTAACAGATCTGCCATCGTACGTGGGTCTGCTAACTGCCTCCCTGAACACAACACACTCATCTGGGTGTTGTGGGAGACCAGTCAGTCCCTGTATCTCTGGATAGCACTGCATCTCTGTACTGTATACTAGAGGTTATACACCACTGTGTCTTGTCAGTTACAGTGCCTTCAGGAAGTATTAATACCCCCTTGCCTTATTACACATTTTGTTATGTTACAGCCTGAATTCAAAATTGATGAAATATTTTTTTTTACACCCATCTACACACAATACCCCTATGACAAAGTGAAAACATGTTTTTGCAAATGTATTGAAAATGAAATACAGAAATATCTCATTTACATAAGTATTCACACACCCCTGAGTCAATACATGTTAGAATCACCTTTGGCAGCGATTACACTTGTGAGTCTTTCTAGGTAAGTCTCTAAGAGCTTTGCACACCTGGATTGTACAATATTTGCACATTATTATTAAACAAATTATTCAAGCTCTGTCAAATTGGTTGTTGATCATTGCTATTTTCAAGTCTTGCCATAGATTTAAGCCGATTTAAGTCAAAACTGTAACTAGGCCACTTTAGGAACATTCCATGTCATCTTGGTAAGCAACTCCAGTGTATATTTGGCCTTGTGTTTTAGGTTATTGTCCTGCTGAAAGGAGAATTTGTCTCTCAGTGTTTGTTGGAATGCAGACTGAACCAGGTTTTCCTTTAGAATTCTGCCTGTGTTTAGCTCTATTCCGTTTCTTTTTATCCAAAAAAACTCCCTAGTCCTTGCCGATGACAAGCACACCCATGACATGATGCAGCCACCACCATGCTTGAAAATATGAAGAGTGGTACTCAGTGATGTGTTGTGCCGGATTTGCCCCAAACATAACGAGTTGTATTCAGGACAAAAAGTTAATTTCTTAGCCACATTATTTGCAGTTTTACTTTAGTGCCTTATTGCAAACAGGATGCATGTTTTGGAATATTTTTTATTCTGTACAGGCTTCCTTCTTTTCACTCTGTCATTTAGGTTTGGTGCAGGCCTCTTCTGAGCAAGCAGGAGTCAGCACCCTGGACAGCACCTCTGCTCTGCATACCAGTACAGTATACACACTCTCACCTGTCATCAACTAGTTAGGTTGAAGAACAAAATATGTTGGGGTTCATATGAAACCTTGTGAATGCATGCAAATAACAGTAATAACATGGCAATTATAAAATAATTATCTAAGGTAAAATACTCTCCAGTAATAGCCCCCTCATACCCACCAATACTTTTCACGCCCCTAGAGTAGATATGGTACAGTCCCAGACACCAGGGTAATGCAACAGAGAAGGGAGAGGGTAAGGTGCTCTGTAGGGGGGGTTCTCCCACCTACCTGTGATGACGCAGGGCAGGGAGCGGATGCCCGTATTGGCTGCCAGTAAAGAGGCTTCGTAGGTGTCCCTCTCGTCTTTGGGCAGCACCTGCTCCACCCGCTGGTCCATGGACACCGTCAACACCCAGTCACGGATCTCCTCTCGCTGGGCATCCTTGGACACGACAACAAGATCAACAACAGCCTCATACCATAATACCATTGCAGCCTAATGTCACAGGCAGTCACAGTACAGCAACATTACACACAGTCATTATATAGTAACATAGCAAAGCCAACAATATAACCGCACAATGATATAGAGCTATCAAACTAACACTGGCACAGAGCAGTCACATCACCACAACATTTCAGACCTGTCATGTTATAAGACATTATAATGACACAGCAAAAAATCTACTTGTGCCTTACAGTGACGTGTAGCTTAGCAGGGAAAGGAACCTCGAAGGGGATGTCAGTGTCTTGGAAATCAGAGTGGTCCAGAGTATCTAAGTTCCCTTCCTCTATCCCCTGGAAACACCACAACAGGCATCAAGACAACATTCACTCACTAGCTCTTCTTCAAACAATCTAATTAAAACACAACGGATACAGACAAAATGTGATGTGGGATAGTTACTCATATCACTGTTGTTATGATAAAATGTATATTGCTATCGATCATATAAGCTACTTGTGAAGATTTTATGCTCAGTGAAAAAGTCTGCAGCTTTAGGTAAAGCTGAGGTGAAACCGCCTCAGGTAAAGCTGAGTGGAGACTCACATCAGACAGATCCAGGAAGCGGTTGAGGAAAATAAAGGCCATGTTCTCCCAGCCCAAAGCCTGTGGAGATAATCACATTTATCATCATCAGCCTGACATTCACAACTAAATGCCAATACTGAAGTAGAAAAAAACATATGAAAGAAAAACAGTTATTCAACGAGTGGGGAGATTTTCCATTTTCCAAAATAATTTCATTTTTTTTCATTTTCCAAAATCATTTCATTGTGAACGTGGGGCGATAGGCTACTTCACAATGCTGTTTGGGCACAAACGTATTCATAACACCTCCAACGGGCCTACCTGGAGCACAGACAGACTCAGTGGACATTGATCAGAATATTTCCCAGGGGGCTAGCAACACCAACCCCCCAAGCCCCTCTCTGCCTCCCGTGATTGGCTGAAGCTCATACGAACAGTTATCTTACCCTGGCAGCCATGCCTGCCTCGTAGAAGGCCTTGTCAGCTGGGATGAGCTCCGTGTGGCGCAGCAGGGATATGGACAGCTTGGCAGCCACGCTGACCTGGAGGGATGGAGAGGAAAGAGATGGAGGACGTGAGTGTGTACCGCAGCTATTACTATACAAAAACTGGCTGGGTAAAATAAAGGGTGAGTACAGTATATACCAGGTCAACCCCATTGGCAGCGGATCGCGTGGCGTAGTAGTGAGAGATCAGCAGCATCTGCTCAAACTCTTCGTGGGCAGGAGAGTTGGCCTCTGAAGACTTGGTCAGGTTCTCACACTGCAAACAGACAGACAACGAGACCATGAAAAACAGACCCTTGTACTTACACACTATATACCATATATGGTCATTATACACTGTGACCTGATACTGTCACTATAGTCCCCTGTCTCTCTCTGGTCCTGTACTCACCAGCAGAAGCATGACGTCTCTCAGGTCAGCCCACATGCGGAAGGACTCAGCGCTGTCTCTACCCAGCAGGCTCAGCAGATCCAGGAACATCCTCTTGTAGATGTTGAAGTTCTGGGGGTTGGCTGGGGCTCCGTGCTGGGCGTACAGGTTCAGGGCCTTTTCTGCATCGCCCTCTTTGATCAGGTGGGTGGCGTACAGGGCCACATACTTGTGGAGGATCTTGTAATTCTACAAATATAAAAAATATAAAAACAATAACAGAATAAAACTGAGAAAATACAGAGAAAAGGATGAAAGACAATGAAACTAAAGAAGGAGTGTTGATGGTAGACTCAGTACCTGTTTGGAAGCAGTCTCTATGCACTTCTCCCATTGGCCTCTCTCAGCATACATGTCCAGAGCTGCCATGACATCCACTCCTACCAGCTAGAACCAGAGAAGATCAGCATTTAGTGGTTAAGAGTGTACACTTATCTATAAAAACGACTACAAAATGACATTTAGTCGTTTTATAAGGTAATGGTAAGAAGCCTTGTAATAGTTTGCTTTCTGAAACTTTGAAACATGTCTCAAAACTAGACTGATGGTTACAAACACCCACATTATGAAGTCTTTGGTGCATTATGCAGGACAACTTCGAAATATGCCATTCACTTTTCACCAGGTAGACTTCATTATTCAACTAGAGATGTCAGTGCTACTGAGCCACACTGATTTGGCATAACAAATAGAACAAGGACTGTGGATCCATTTTGTTATTGTAAATTATACTGTACTTGCACAATTTAGAAGTTGGCTTATTATTTGCGATACATATTAACGTTAAATTGTAGCTACTTACTGAATCTGCTTTGCCTTGGTTTTTCAAGTGTTCTTTGTATCGCTGGTCCACATAATCTTCAAACCTACATGAATATATTATAATAACAATTTATTCACCTTCTATAGTGCTTTTCATTACCAAAATTATCTCAAAGTGCTTGAAAACGGCAAACAATCAAGAATAAAATAAAACAGCTACAGTATATGATAAGAACTACCATTTTCAGCCAGAGTTGAATGTTTTAAGTGTTTCAAGCCTCCAACAGATGGAGCTGTTCAGATAGACGCACAATGTAGAAGGAAAGTAAAATATAATCTATTATCCTCTATTATGTAGGATAATGACTGTTCAGGAGTTGGAGTACATGAAAGCAATGCAGCCAGGTAATAGTCCCCAGATAGACAAATCACAACACAGATGTACTGTACTAAACACATTGTCTAATCAAATTGACCTTTACAAAACGTACAATAAATAAATAAACAACCACTGTAAAGTTAGCTACTGTCATTCACTCTGGATAAGATCCTAAATGACTATAATGTAACATACAGAATAGATGAAACAGGAATCTCATCCCATTCATTAACTAGAGGACTGGAGCTACCTCTGTCCTAGGCCTTGTGTTGTTTTAAGAGGCAGCAACAGCTGACTGGTGCCTATGAGGCCTCTGTGTGTTTTCTCTCTCTGTAGCCTAATGACAGAAGAGGTATTCTAGCCCGCTAGGCTTGTTGTTAGGGGTGACCAGGCAGAGCTGTAGTGGTGGGCCCGACCGACAGGCTCACCTTGGATCCAGCTCCTTGGCCACTCTCTTGGCTTTGTTCCATTCTTCTCCCTCAATGAATGCATCTATGGCTTCCTTAACGAGGTCCAGGTTGAGGTACAGCTCAGCCGCCTGAGGAAAATAAAACATTTGGAATCTCAAAAGATTTCTTGAAGGACGCCAGAGATTAGGCATAAAACATGGGCGCCTTTGTTTTGGGAAGTAAGTACTTTTTCTATTATCACACTCGCACCAAAACCATCGCTTCCGTTGGCAGAATGGCCTCCACACACACCTTTAGATTAATAAAAGCTGTTGCTGAATGTAGTTTTGTCCAATACATTTTTTAAACATTATTTTTTGTTCAAGAGTACCTATGAACAGGCACATAACGGTCCTGTCTATGAAATCCTTGGTTGGATACCTGTCTGCTACACTCAATAATAATATACTTTCTAAAAAGCATGGAACTTTTGTATTTTTTTACACTAGAATTTCACATACCAGTTGACATACAGCAGCCTAAAACCATGCATTTACAAAATAACACTAAATGATCAATATCAAGAGCCTGTTAGTATTGAGGGATCAAGCAGGAAGTGTGTGGTGACTCACAGCGCTGTACTTCCTGAGCTGGGTGAGGCGAGGGCCCACAGAGTGGATCACAGCCACAGCCCTCTCCTGGGTCAAGAACTTGATGGCCAACTCAGCAGCCTGGGGGAGGTCACACACACAGAAAACATTGAGGCACTACACTCAGGGTCACAGAAACACACAGTAAACATTACATGGCACGACTGTACATCCAGGGCCACAGATAGAGGCTTGTAAGGACAGCATGTGTGGGTTATGTTATAGTGACATTCATTGCCAGTCCTGGACTTCTTTTATGTACCTTCATCCAGCACTTCTCCATAAGGGGGCCGTTGGCGGAGTCCTTGACCTTGAGGTAACACTCCACGGCCCGGGCGTACTCCCCAGACTGCTCCCATTCCTTGGCCTGCTCCACCATGCCTTCCACCCCTCTGCGCACACACACACAGAACACACACACACCGTCAGTAAAACATTTACATGTCCTCCTTGGACCTATGAATTAGCTATAACTGAGCTGCATTAGTAAGTAATCGAGGGACCAGATGGATGTGTAGGGAATAACAGAACTAGAACGAAAGACTTGGAAGCCCATTCTAAGAACAGAAAAAATACTGTACATGTCTGTCGGCGTTAAAGTCAAGGAAGTATTCTAAGACACTACTGCGAAGGCAAATACAATACATTTTGCCCCGGGGTCCACATTCGGTCTTCAACGGGGTCCGGATGGCCGCACTGAAAATGTGTTATGTTTTCTCACTGTAAAAATGTGCAAAAAATTGTCCTCTATCCATGTTCTTTAAAAAAATAAAAATAATAATATGCTCCCCGACTGTCTAGCTTTCATTTCAGTGATTATTTAGTGAGCTAGACACAGTCAAGAAACTGTATGAATGTAGGTCCATTATCATTTCTAAACAGTTTCGGTTTGGTTTTAGTCATTTTAAAGTATATTGAGTTCGTTTTCACCCCCCAATTGGACCCCCTCGTCTGTTTGACACCCCTGCTCTACACAGTGCACTGCACACAGACTTCTCCCATTAAAATCTTAGATCTCTCCCTCTCCTCCACTGAGCTACAAACCCAACCCTTGTGATGTTAAAGATAGAGACAAGAGTCAAAGTGAAAGGCAACATATGTTAGAGAGTTCTGGCTCTCAATTGAGCATGACTGACAGTACAAGAGGGCCAAATTACTCTCAATTGGGGCCTGAACTGAAGACTGTGCAAAATAAATGTCCTACTTTCCGTTTGACGAGTCTTTGATGTTTTCCCACAAGTCATTAAAAGCAGGGAAATGATGGTTGGAGACGGATGGAGGCGCTGCGTGTCTGCACTTTAATTAGCTGCTCATTATGGATTACATTTTGGATAAAAAGCTGCCATGTTTTAATAACGCATGGACCCAATGCGCATATAGATTAATAACAGACCACAAAACAACAGTATGTACATAGACGTTTCTTTCTTCTCCTTCTCGTTTAACATGTAACATTGAGACACATTTTCTCTGCCTCTCCAAGACCACAAACAGAGTTATTAAAATGTTATAATAACCAGGAAAATGTGCTATAAAAACACAGACGTTATTGGAGTGTGTGTGAGTGTGTTTTGCTCACCGGGAGCCCTTCTTGGTAGCCTCCTTCTCGTACTCCTCTTGGAGGATGCTCAGCTTGTTGGGGAGGTACTCTTTACAGATCCGCATGGCATCACTCCACATCTCCGTGTCCTGAGACAACAACAAAACAACAACACTCAGTACCCGGGAGCACCAATTTCTGTGAAGCACATTCAGCCAAACAACCAGCGTGAATTATGGAATGAAAACATTGCTGAGCGCAGTATTCTGTTTAACCTGTAGTGTTCTCTGTAAAGCTACTCCCAGAACACAGAGAATAGTGAATTGACTAGAATATGAACCCTCTGATTTAAAAAAAAACTAGAGTCGATGTCAGCGCCCCCGTGGAAATCTAATTATCATAATACAAAAATCCCCATAAGAATCTGTCAGTTTAAGCTAGAGATATCATTCTTCTCTGCAGATCCTCTCAAGCTCTGTCAGGTTGGATGGGGAGCGTTGCTGCACAGCTATTTTCAGGTCTCTCCAGGAATGTTCGATCAGGTTCAAGTCCGGGCTCTGGCGGGACCACTCAAGGACATTCAGAGACTTGTCCTGAAGCCACTTCTGTGTTGTCTTGGCTGTGTGCTTAGGGTTGTTGTCCTGTTGGAAGGTGAACCTTCGCCCCAGTCTGAGGTCCTGAGTGCAAGGATCTCTCTGTACATTGCTCCGTTCATCTTTGCCTCAATCCTGAATAGTCTACCAGTCCCTGTTGCTGAAAAACATCCCCACAGCCTGATGCTGCCACCACCATGCTTCACCGTAGGGATGGTGCCAGGTTTCCTCCACATGTGACGTTTGGCATTCAGGCCAAAAAGTTCAATCTTGGTTTCATCAGATCAGAGAATCTTGTTTCTCATGGTTTGAGAGTCTCTAGGTGCCTTTTGGCAAACTCCAAGCGGGCTGTCATGTGACTTTTACTGAGGAGTGGCTTTCGTCTGGCCACTCTACCATAAAGGCCTGATTGGTGGAGTGCTGCAGAGATGGTTGTCCTTCTGGAAGGTTCTCCCATTTCCACAGAGGAACTCTAGAGCTCTGTCAGAGTGACCATCAGTTCTTGGTCACCTCCCTGACCAAGGCCCTTCTCCCCCGATTGCTCAGTTTGGCCGGGCGGCCAGCTCTAGGAAGAGTCTTGGTGGTTCCAAACTTTTTCCGAAGGTACTGTACATGTCAGTTGTTTTGCTCTAGGACGTCCACAGGTGTCTGAAGGTCCCCCAGGACCAGTTTTAGAAAATGTATGGAAGTCTATATGGAGACTGTTTAGCGCCAAAAATAAGGGGTTAAATACATGTACAAAAATATATATACTTATGTTTCCTGATCTTTCTTATATCTCTCAGCTATAGGACAGACACTTCAGAATAAACACTTCAGAACAAACTTTTTGGGGGGACTATCTGTAGTCCCATGTAGTGTATCTGTTATTCAATGCATTTGTATGGGTATATAGCAGTAAGGCCAAAAATTATTTTTCATTTGATAGCAAAAAAATAAATAATCCAAATCCAATAGCTAAATGATCCTTCGTATGATCTTAAAACAATTCCATATAGCTTAGTATATATGGAATTGTTTAATTAATAAACATCTCCAAAGTCCTCTTGAAAACCAACCCAGTCAGCTCCTGACTAACAATTACAAGTCTGAAGTGTCAGTTCTGCCCAGTTCAAACATAAAGAGAGTGGGTGTTTCTCAATATGCATACTACCGTGCTCCACACTCTAATGCTCCAAGTTCATTCTCAAAGGAAGATCTCGAGTACGTTCTTGTGAGGACGAGAGTGTGGAGAACACATAAAAATGTACATTTGAGAAGCACTGCGCACTCCCATGCTACTGCATTACCTTTGACCAATACAGACGAAACAAGATAACTACATAAAGCAATCACAAGCTTGTAACTTCATAATTATCAGCTCGCTACATGTGAATCGTATTAATCTAGCTAGCCTGCTACTTTCATATGTAAAAAATTAGCTAAAACTAATGTTGTTATTAAAGTTGATGGCCAACGTTAGCTACAAATTATTTGTGGGTAACGTTAGCTAGCTAGCTACCAATTCTTCGTCAGTAAGACTGCGGTCTACGCACACTACAGTGGACATTGTATTTAGTTAAACATGCCAAAATGAACACAGCATATACAGTGGGGGAAAAAAGTATTTAGTCAGCCACCAATTGTGCAAGTTCTCCCACTTAAAAAGATAAGAGAGGCCTGTAATTTTCATCATAGGTACACGTCAACTATGACAGACAAAATGAGGAAAAAAAATCCAGAAAATCACATTGTAGGATTTTTAATGAATTTATTTGCAAATTATGGTGGAAAATAAGTATTTGGTCAATAACAAAAGTTTCTAAATACTTTGTTATATACTCTTTGTTGGCAATGACACAGGTCAAACGTTTTCTGTAAGTCTTCACAAGGTTTTCACACACTGTTGCTGGTATTTTGGCCCATTCCTCCATGCAGATCTCCTCTAGAGCAGTGATGTTTTGGGGTTGTCGCTGGGTAACACGGACTTTCAACTCCCTCCAAAGATTTTCTATGGGGTTGAGATCTGGAGACTGGCTAGGCCACTCCAGGACCTTGAAATGCTTCTTACGAAGAAGCCACTCCTTCGTTGCCCGGGCGGTGTGTTTGGGATCATTGTCATGCTGAAAGACCCAGCCACGTTTCATCGTCAATGCCCTTGCTGATGGAAGGAGGTTTTCACTCAAAATCTCACGATACATGGCCCCATTCATTCTTTCCTTTACACGGATCAGTCGTCCTGTTCCCTTTGCAGAAAAACTGCCCCAAAGCATGATGTTTCCACCCCCATGCTTCACAGTAGGTATGGTGTTCTTTGGATGCAACTCAGCATTCTTTGTCCTCCAAACACGATGAGTTGAGTTTTTACCAAAAAGTTATATTTTGGTTTCATCTGACCATATGACATTCTCCCAATCCTCTTCTTGATCATCCAAATGCACTCTAGCGAACTTCAGACGGGCCTGGACATGTACTGGCTTAAGCAGGGGGACACGTCTTGCACTGCAGGATTTGAGTCCCTGGCGGCGTAGTGTGTTACTGATGGTAGGCTTTGTTACTTTGGTCCCAGCTCTCTGCAGGTCATTCACTAGGTCCCCCCGTGTGGTTCTGGGATTTTTGCTCACCGTTCTTGTGATCATTTTGACCCCACGGGGTGAGATCTTGCGTGGAGCCCCAGATCGAGGGAGATTATCAGTGGTCTTGTATGTCTTCCATTTCCTAATAATTGCTCCCACAGTTGATTTCTTCAAACTAAGCTGCTTACCTATTGCAGATTCAGTCTTCCCAGCCTGGTGCAGGTCTACAATTTTGTTTCTGGTGTCCTTTGACAGCTCTTTGGTCTTGGCCATAGTGGAGTTTGGAGTGTGACTGTTTGAGGTTGTGGACAGGTGTCTTTTATACTGATAACAAGTTCAAACAGGTGCCATTAATACAGGTAACGAGTGGAGGACAGAGGAGCCTCTTAAAGAAGAAGTTACAGGTCTGTGAGAGCCAGAAATCTTGCTTGTTTGTAGGTGACCAAATACTTATTTTCCACCATAATTTGCAAATAAATTCATTAAAAATCCTACAATGTGATTTTCTGGATTTTCTTTTCTCAATTTGTCTGTCATAGTTGACGTGTACCTATGATGAAAATTACAGGCCTCTCTCATCTTTTTAAGTGGGAGAACTTGCACAACTGGTGGCTGACTAAATACTTTTTCCCCCCACTGTATTTATTAAGGTATCAAGCTCAAATATTGTAGTCAGGCAACATATGAGATGTGAGTAGGCAACTTTTCATTCAGAAGTCAGAGTTCATTTTCGCTCGGTTCAGCTCAAAACCAGCCACTATTGTTTTCAAAAACTTTGCGTCGGTTTTTACGTGGTTGCATCATTTTACATATTACAATATTTTCAGTTGAAGCTTGCACCGATGCTTTGAAGTGTGTCAAAACGAAGTACACATCTGAAAACTGCCGCCCGTGCTCTGTTTCACATACTTTGATCTGGACTCATACTCCGACCGTTCCGTGTTCCAATTTGCGTGATCGGAGCACGGTAGCATGCATATTGAGAAACACCCAGTCTCTTACTTTGTAGTACTTGATGGCCAGCTCTGGCCTCTGAGCCCTGAGGAGGAAGGCCTCAGCCTTCTGGAAGTCCTTCTGTTCGAAGCAGAACTTGGCCTGGCCCACCAGCACATCTGATACACTGTCTGGGTCATTGGCCTCCGCCACCCTCTGGGCTCCAACCCAGTCCTGGTTATGGACATACCTGTAAGGGACACACCAGGCTGTAATTGAACCTCCCTCATGTTGTTACAGGTTCAAGTTCAACGTTTTTGTTTATCAGATTGCAGACAGCAAACACTCTCTGAAATACTTGTTATTAACAGATTAAAGGGCTCTAACTCTAGTTTATATTAGCTAGACGATATACCACTAAAAACAGTAATGTTGTGATCTTCCAGCAGCCCTGTTATACTGTAGGTCTGTCTACAGTATAGAGTACAGTTCTCTCCCATCCTATACACTCCACTCCTCTACAGGAAGCAGAGATCAAACAGTCTCAGTGACAGGGCTCCAGTTCATCTGCTACCTGTGTGAGAGTTGAGCTCCCCTCCAACCAAACACCCCCACATCATCTCACACTCACTTAATAGGTGGTCTATAACCAATGTACAGAGAAGTGAGGGGAAGTTCTGAAGGGGAAGAGGCAAGAGCTGTGCTGGCACCAGCGCTCCTTTTGAAGTCGACTCAGGAAGGCTTGAAGCTCTGATTTCTGTTGGGGACACATGCCAACACCACTCGCTAGCTAGCAAGAGAAAAACTAGTGATATACTTACATCAGCACTGCCTCTTTTGGCTTCCCCGCTTTGATGAACTCCGTCTCGGCTTCGGCGAACTTGCCCTTGAAAAATGAAACATCACGGCTCAGTGCTCGGTGGTGGAGGGATTAATAATGCACGCGTGACATTTAATGGCTGGAGAAGGGAGAAACACTGCGCTCAGACCTATATTTGGGCAGGCAACGGAGTAAATATTTTTGAATCTTTGAGACGGTGCAAGCTGCAGAGTAACCTTGAATGACAATGAGTGTGTGATTGGGAGGAGGAGTTGGAAGTGGTGTGTGTGTGTGAGTGTGTGTGTGTGTGTGTGTGTGTATTACCTCATCCTCCAGCATCATGGCATTTTTCAGGTGGATCTCAGGGATCTTGTTCTTGGTGGAGAGACGAGCCAGCTCTAAGGCAAAGTCAAAGGAGCTGAGAGGAGGACAAGAGAAGGGTCAAAACCAGTCTCCTCGTTAAGGTCACAGAGGTACAGCAGCTTCATCAATACTGACTCCTAGGAACGAATGGGGAAGGTCTTAACAGCTTATGCCTAGTATTGAATGCTTCAGACCATGAGTAATACACCACAATAAAAGCTAAAATAATGACATTTTCAAATTCTGTATTGCTGAACTTTTTAGGCTATTGCTTTGTACTGAGTCAATCACAGAACAAATACATCAGATACTTCAAGTACCTCCCAGTGATAGACATTTGACTACAGGGAGATTCCTCATCACCTCGTAAACATGAAAGCAATATTGAAGAGCATGGGGTTCCAGGCAACACAGTACAGTAAAGTGCAGTCCAGTGCATTGATCTGCTCACCAGTTGTCTGCTGCAAAGTCGATGGCGGTCTCCAGCAGACCAAACTTGTTGAGCAGTTTGACGGCAGCCTCCCCTCCCAGACTCTTGGCCCACAGGTAGGCCACCTGCTTATGGGCACTGGCTCCCCCATGGCTCTTCGCCACCTGCCACACACACATGAGGGGAAGAGGATTAGGAACAACTGATTCATATGCCAGAAGCTCCCACCATCAACCGCCTCACGTGTCTCTCACTGCACATGCTGAGAGCAGGGAGAGAGCCATATAGGGGAGAGAAAGAGTGCAAGAGAGAGAAACTGTGAGAGAGGAGATAGCTGTAGAGAGAGCAATATAAATGGCATTTGTAGTGAAACTCATAATAAATGAATGTACAACTGAGTGTTAAATAAAAAGGGTGTGCGTTTACACTGAGTGTACAAAACATTAGGAACACTTGTTCTTTCCATGACATAGACTGACCAGGTGAATCCAGGTGAAAGCTTTGATCCCTTATTGATGTCACCTGTTAAATCCACTTCAAATCAGTGTAGATGAAAGGGAGGAGACAGGTTAAATAAGGATGTTTAAGCCTTGAGACAATTGAGACATGGATTGTGTATGTGTGCCATTCAGAGGGTGAATAGGCAAGACAAAATATTTAAGTGCCTTTGAACAGGGTATGGTAGTAGGTGCCAGGCAAACCGGTTTGAGTGTGTCAAGAACTGCAATGCTGCTGGGTTTTTCAAGTTCAACAGTGTCCCGTGTGTATCAAGAATGGTCCACCACCCAAAGGACATCCAGTCAACTTGACACAACTGTTTGAAGCATTGGAATCAACACGGGCCAGCATCCCTGTGGAACGCTTTCGACACCTTGTAGAGTCCATGGCCTGCCGAATTGAGGCTGTTCTGAGGGCAAAAGGGGTGCAACTCAATATTGGGAAGGAGTTCCTAATGTTTTGTACACTCAGTGTGTATACTGCTATGGTCCAGTGGAGGGCCAGAAAGGAGGGAGCAGTAGCATAGTTGCAGCCAGGTGGTGATGTTTTTAGAGAGAGTGTTAGGAGGCCTGTAAGCAGTGAGAGGTCTTGCAGTGTAACACATCCATCCTGTGCTGCTGTGTTAGCACAGACCACTGTCCTTGATACAGCATAACATGCAACGCCAGGGGTGTCATAATCACACTGTCACACTGTCCTGCTGTTCACAGACACTCACTCTCTCATGGACTCTCAGTGAGAGACGAAAGTCAACTTGTGATGTGGACTAGAGCCTGACCGATATATCGTTTCACAAAAAAAAACATATCGGTCAGGCTCTAACGTGGACACATACCCTGTAGGCCTCTTCCCACATGTCGTTGACACGGTACATGTTGACTGCACCCTTCCACTCCTGGCCTTCCATATAGTGGTACTCCGCCTCCGAAAACCTGGACTCTGTCTCCAACTCCTGGAAGATATTAGAGAACTCAGACTCAGTAACCTGACAAACTGATTATCCTTGCTAATCTAAATCACCTTGAGCCCCTCTCATAAGATTCTTTCAAAATGATACCCATATGATAATTGTATTTTTTCTTTAGACAGCGCCCCCTATCTCCGACCTTGGCCAAGTGCAGGTGAGTCTCAGCCAGCAGGTCTGGGTGATGTTTGGCCACCAGTCGAATCACGTCGTCAAACATCTTGTTCTTCTTATACATGGTGATGGCCAGGTCTGGCTCATCCACTGTCGCAAACAGCCTGCGAATATTCCCGTCACACACACACACACACACACACACACACACACACACACACAGACACAGACACAGACACAGACACAGACACAGACACAGACACAGACACAGACACAGACACAGACACAGACACACACAGACACAGACACACACACACACAGACACAGACACACACACACACAAACACATACAAACACACACAGAGATGATTGCATTGCTATGCACTAAGATTGAGTAATTCTTCATCTCTGATTACATAAACCGCAAATTAAGCATGAGCAGAAAATATAATTTCTTATCACAAAATTAAGTTGCCCTTTGCTGATGATGAATTTTGCTCCACATTTGTCACAGTAGAGATCAATAAGAGAGGCAAGTATTGGGATTACACAGAGTTGGGGGCACGTGGTGACATATTGTCTTTGTGGCAGGCTGGCAGCGTGTGAGGGAGACTACTCTGTCTAATATGGAAAGGCACAGGCTCCTTTAGAGGCAGAGAGCTAGACTGGGGGTTGTTCAGTTAGGTGTAATGATTATGTTTCAGACACAACACAGCCAGGGCACCTTATTAAAGTCCAATTTGCTATCAATGCACAGCAATTGAACACTTTTGTTTGTCAATTTGTTGCAGTAGAACCTTGACCTGAACTGCAACAGACAATGTTCTGGATAAAGTGACTGTTACAGCAGGGCCCTGTAACCCAATGTCGGCAAACTTTGCCCGTGACAAAATCCATAATTAATTTGGCAGCAGGGTTGTGGTCGATACGGGTTGAAAACAGAGGAGGGTAAGGAATGATAAAGTATGGAGAGAGAGGAAAAGAAGAAGAGTGGAGAGGAAGAGAGATGAGGTAGAAAGAAAGAGAGAGGGAGATATTACCTTTCTGCCTCCTTATATTTCCCCTCTCCCTCCAGTTCCTGGGCTCGGCTGATGTACAGAGTTGACACGTCCTCTGGGGTCATACATTTCGCTGCCAGCTAGGACACAAAGTGTGTGTGTGAGTGTGCATGTACACTGTACCAAGCGTCACTTTAACTCACTTTGATTCTCATTCCAATTCACTGTGCATAACATCCCACTTGAAAAGAACACACAGGCCTGTTACAACTAAACATAGAAAGCACAGCAGTATATCCCATTTCAATCAACTGCCTGCCATTTTAAGCTGGGCGAGCCAGATGATGAGATGGGACATTGAGGAGGATGCATACCTTATGAGCCTGCTCCCACCTCCCAGCCACCGTGTACATATCGATGGCATCTTTGATGTGGTCTCCCTTCACAAACAGGGGCTCTGCAACCTGGGTTCGCACAGAGAGAGAGAGAGTGAGAGAGAGAGTGAGATAGAAAGAGAGAGAGAGAGACATACTGTACATGAATTTCTGTGGATTCCAGCTCTCAAAGTAAGTAATGCATCAATACTTTAATTAAATTCTTCAAACATGCTCACGCAGCACAGAGGCAGCATGGAGTCTGGTCTGGAATAAGCAGGCATCGCTAGCTGCCAGGTTGCTAGGCCCCTGACTCATCAGAACAGTCGGAATAGGGCTGCGTCTCTCTCCGTCCGTCCCTCCCTCCCTCTCTCTCCCTCTTTCCCCTTACCTCGTACTCCTGGATGGAAGCGTAGTACTGGGCTATCTTCAGGTAGTACTTCCCTCCTGACCGGTCTTCCTGTAACTCCAGGATATGGACCGCCTTCTTCCACTGGCGAGCCCCTATGGCAGCCTCGATGGCCTTCGAGGAACAGCTACGATAGAGAGACAACAGAGGGGGAGAGGAGAGGGGGAGATGAGGCGTTTGCACCATCGAAGGACATAGAACTAATCAAAGAATACAATACAAAGCAACTTTATTAATCCACTTGGAACAACTAATAGGCTATGCCCAGCCCAGCCAGGGAGCAATTAAGACTAGAATGGCAATTAAGACTCTGTTAGAATCCTGTCAAACCACTTTTATTGGTAATTTCTTCAGTTGATTCCTATGTGTTGATTCCCAGCAGTAAGTGATTAGTAGGGGATGGAGCTTTAGCGAGGCCCATTATGCCAGTCAGTCAGACCACCACAGTATTACCAGAGGGCCAGCCTTCCAATGAGCATCCAGTGTGCTATCTAAAGGAGCCTGCCCTGGGGACTGGAGCCCTGGTGCTGCCTAATGAACAATACCTCAATTTGATTACACAGGAAATTAATCATTCACTTCACTATAAACAAACCCCTCACACCACCTCCTCCTGTCTCCCACTCCTTTCATCTCTTTCCGTCTCTCGATCTCTATCACTCCCTCCTCTACACCACTTTTCCTCCCTCCTCCCTCCCTCCCTCTCCCTCCTTGTAGTGAGTGATGGGCAGACAGCAGAGCTGACTCACCCAGCCTCTATATAGTGGTTGATGGCGGCGTCCATTTGTTTCTGCTGGACCAGGTAGTCTCCCCAGGCCTCCTCCAGTTTCACCACGTCAGCCGGGAAGGCAACACGAGCCAGCTCCACAGCTACGCTCAGGGAAAGACGTCACAGTTACATTCACATCAATACAGTTTACAATTCATTCTCCAAACCAATGTCAAACCCAGTGACCATAAACAACATAATGATTGGGCTATTCATTAAATAACTAATACATCCTGTATGAATGGTCTCGTCCCAACCACTACACATAGGTGATATTCATTCTTATATTCACCCACAGTGCAGTGTCAGGCCTACCTTTCCTGAAGGCGTTGCCCTTGCGGTAGCAGTCCAGAGCCCTCTGGTTGTTCCTGATCTTCTCAAACAGATCTCCTGCCTGATAATGGGAGAGAGGAAAGTTACTTAGCTCAACTCCCTCCCTCTCATTTAGTTACTTACAGCACCTCTGGTCCATAACCAGATGGTTCAAGAGCAGAGAGAGAAAGAGAAAGAAAGAGAGAGAGACATTCAGAGAGAGAAAAACAGATGGCTGACTAACATCCCTCCCAGACACATCCTTTATTAAGACACAGACATACACTTTCCCTGACATTGGTTCCGAGGAGAGGAGTCATCCATGGCTCTGAGTAAGACCACAGAGACACAGAGAGGAAACAAAGGGTCACGCTGTACACAGAGACACTGAGCTAGAACACTGCACACCTGTCTCTCTCTGCACCAACTTCACCTGCCTTACCTAAGACAAACCAACTTTTCTATCACACACAAATCATATTGCGAGACAATCAGGCCGAGTCACTCAGAACCATTAGGAGCACATGAGAGGGGATCTAAGCAACCTTTCATCTCATTCCATTAAGACTTTTACTCTGTAGCTGGAAGATAAGCGATACTTGTCTTGAAGAAGCCTAGTGTAATCTTAATGACAGCCGTCGAGTTCACTGTGTGACAGTTGTCATGACACCCACCCTCTCATAGAACTCTCCCTTGATGAGGGCGGCCGCGATCCTGTTGATGACATCACAGTTGGAGACTAGCTCCTCGCGGCTCATAGCCAATCGGGCAGCCTTGGCCGGTAGGCCCGCCTTGAGGAAGAGGTTGATGGCGCCCATGAAGTCCTCCTCCCCCTCCTTGACCTCGCCAGCCTTTTCATCCTGGTTGGTCTCCATCAGCCACTGGTAGTAGCTGCGACGCAGGTTGTCTAGCTCTGGGTGGCCCTGGGAAGAAACTCATTCAATAAGGCCTATGTTTCACAGTTTCATGGGAAAATCTGTGTGGTATTCGTTTTTTTGCAGATAGCTGATAAAATAACATAATGTCATATAATGTAATGTGTGTGTACTACAGTCTCTCTGTGTTAGTTTACCTTGGACTCAGCCACAGCGATGCAGTCGTCCCACATGTGAAGCTCCTGATACATCTCCATCACCTCATCAATGGCATTCTACAGAGCAGTCACACAACACATCGACACACATCCCTGTGAGACTGGGAGGTTTTTCATGCCTTTAATACAGACCAAACGCTTCACTGAGTTGTATAGTGTTAGACAGATATTCCACCATTCAAGTTACACCCTCCTACCTGCTCCATATAGTACATCTCAGCCAGTTTGTAGTTCTTGGCCAGCATGGCGAGGCGTGCTTTGACTTGGTAGAACTCTGTACCATCACCACCCTGGAGGTTAGACAAGGCAAGTGTCACATAAGACCAACTTCAAAATGTATCTGAAAGGCTAAAGGGAATGACGTGTCCTTTCTAGCAGACTGGGGCAGACCGACCTGCATTAACTAGCTGGCCCCTTCATTCAACAATGGTAAATAGGTGCTGGAGGTGCGTGTGTGGGCATGTGGGCGTGTGTGTGTGTGTGATTAGCATTAATGGGGTTTAATAGCCCAGTGAAGCAGAGTGATGTGATGGATGGATTGACTGGCCTGGCCAGTCAGGGAGCAGCTGTGCTGGCAGGGGTGCCAGTGTGCCCATGCTCCAGGGGGCAGAGAGACCCACACAGGGGCCCCAACAGACATCCAGGGCTGAGCCTCGTGGCCCCAGATGGAACACCTGGATTGGATTGCCTCCAACTCAGGACCTGGATGACTATGGAAGTGGACCCAAACTAGAGCCTCCAACACTACTCAGTATATCTATGACCAGTTATGAAGGGAGGTGGGGACTGGCGATGCATGAGAGACCAACACACACTACGGTACATACGTATTCCTTTGAGACTTTGTCGGCGATCTTGTTAGTCTCGTTCAGAAAGCGAGCTTTGGAGACATCCCCCAAGGCAGCAAAGCACCTAAAAGAAACACAAAATAACTTAAGGGACACTGAGGGTGCAGCAAAAACAAATGTTTACAGATAAAAACTCTGCCATAACCTCTAAAACAAATACCAAAGGCGTTCTATCAACAGCCTTTAGTCATGCGCCAGTGCCAGGGTTAACACAATAACATTTCAATGGCTTCTAACTTGGGCCGCCTGTATTACCAGCTCTTTCAGGGAAATTGCATCACGCTAATAACCTGGGTTCACAATCAAAAGAGGAGCATCTCTTTTTAGCTACCCACTTTCCTTCATTTACATTCTCCTCTCAGGACAAAACGTATTTTTCCTGCATGATTTATGGAAATCAACCCCCATACATAAGGAACGGCCGCTGCATTATTGATGCCATGCTACAGTCAAATCTAACTTTCACCCCCCAAAAAAGTGAAAGAAAAAATTGACAAAAGCTTAAGTAAGCACCACCAGGGCAAGTTAAGTGAGTCCTACTGAGAGAGAGAGAGCCTTTTCTAGTCAGGGACACATCGTTCTACATGACACAGAGTACTCTCAGTTCTGGGTAAACTGCTTAGCATTGTACTATTCCTGCCCCCCAGTCACGCACGCATAGCTCAGAAAAACACTGAGGGGAGGGGGCTGCTCCAGGCTAAACATCTTCACGGGAGGCGAGTCACTTTTCACAAGTTAAAATGGAGAGAGAGAGAGAAATAGAGAGGACTGTATTAGAAGATAGGTGTAGTGGTGCTGTTATTTAGGATGTGCTGAGCCCCCTTGGGATGACATGAGTGGAGTGTGTGTGTGTTGTGTATGTGTATGTTGTGGCATGAGTGACGCAGTATGCGTCTGTGCGTTCGTGTGGCCCCCCGCTGTGCTGACCTCTCTGCGATGTGGAGCTGGCGGGCCTCCAGGGACAGTTTGCTCAGAGTTTTCCACATGGCCTCCGTCTCCGAGGACATCTCCAGAGTCTCCAGGAACGCTGTGGCTCTGAGGGAACACACACACACATACATACAAACACAGAGAGAGACACGTGAGTCACACAGCACGACCATCCACAGGGACAACTCACCGCAGGAGAGAGCAACAAAGTGTAACTAGAAAAAACAGATTCAACAGAATAACAACCCTCTTTTTTGCAGCTATAGGGTGACAGTTTGACCACAGGGATGTTTCTGCCATTGAAATTCTTGGACAGGGAATTCCAAACAGTGTACAAATTAATTTTGGGGATGGAAAAACTCTTTCAGTGTTAACTTAAACGACTAAATATGTACACTACCAGTCAAAAGTTTGGACACACCTACTCATTCAAGGGTTTTTCTTTATTTTTACATTGTAGAATAATAGTGAAGACATCAGAACTGTGAAATAACACATATGGAATCATGTAGTAACCAAAAAAGTCTTAAACAAATCAAAATATATTTTATGTTTGAGATTCTTCAAATAGCCACCCTTTGCCTTGTTGACAGCTTTGCACACTCTTGGCATTCTCTCAACCAGCTTCATGAGGTAGTCACCTGGAATGCATTTCAATTAATTGATCTCTGCATGTGTATTTCCCACCGTAAAGCATGGAGGAGGAGGTGTTATGGTGTGGGGGTGCTTTGCTGGTGACACTGACTGTGATTTATTTAGAATTCAAGGCACACTTAACCAGCATGGCTACCACATCATTCTGCAGCGATATGCCATCCCATCTGGTTTGGGATTAGTGGGACTATCATTTGTTTTTCAACAGGACAATGACCCAACACACCTCCTGGCGGTGTAAGGGCTATTTTACCAAGAAGGAGAGTGATGGAGTGCTGCATCAGATGACCTGGCTTCCACAATCCCCTGACCTCAACCCAATTGAGATGGCTTGGGATGAGTCGGACGGCAGAGTGAAGGAAAAGCAGCCAACAAGTGCTCAGCATATGTGGGAACTCCTTCAAGACTGTTGGAAAAGCATTCCAGGTGAAGCTGGTTGAGAGAATGCCAAGAGTGTGCAAAGCTGTCATAAAGGCAAAGGGTGGCTATTTGAAGAATCTCAAATATAAAATATATTTTGATTTGTTTAACACTTTTTTGGTTACTACATGATTCCTCAGGAGGCTGAAGAAATTTGGCTTGGCATCTAAAACCCTCACAAACTTTTACAGATGCACAATTGAGAGCATCCTGTCGGGCTGTATCACCACCTGGTACGGCAACTGCACCGCCCGCAACCGCAGGGCTCTCCAGAGGGTGGTGCGGTCTGCCGAACGCATTATCGGGGGCAAACTACCCGCCTTCCAAGACACCTAGAGCACCCGATGTCACAGGAAGGCCAAATAGATCATCAAGGACATCAACCACCCGAGCCACTGCCTATTCACCCCGCTATCATCCAGAAGGCAAGGTCAGTACAGGTGCATCAAAGCTGGGACCGAGATAATTAAAAACAGCTTCTATCTCAAGGACATCAGACTGTTAAATAGCCATCACTAGCACATTAGAGGCTGCTCCTGCCTATTGAAATCACTGGCCACTTTAAGAAATGTAACACTAGTCACTTTAATAATGTTTACAGTCACTTTAATAATGTTTACATATCTTGCACTACTCATCTCATATGTACAGTGAGGGAAAAAAGTATTTGATCCTCTGCTGATTTTGTACGTTTGCCCACCGACAAAGAAATGATCAGTCTATAATTTTAACGGTAGGTTTATTTGAACAGTGAGAGACAGAATAACAACAAAAAAATCCAGAAGAATGCATGTCAAAAATGTTATAAATTGATTTGCATTTTAATGAGGGAAATAAGTATTTGACCCCCTCTCAATCAGAAAGATTTCTGGCTCCCAGGTGTCTTTTATACAGGTAACGAGCTGAGATTAGGAGCACACTCTTAAAGGGAGTGCTCCTAATCTCAGTTTGTTACCTGTATAAAAGACACCTGTCCACAGAAGCAATCAATCAATCAGATTCCAAACGCTCCACCATTGCCAAGACCAAAGAGCTCTCCAAGGATGTCAGGGACAAGATTGTAGACCTACTCAAGGCTGGAATGGGCTACAAGACCATCGCCAAGCAGCTTGGTGAGAAGGTGACAACAGTTGGTACGATTATTCACAAATGGAAGAAACACAAAAGAACTGTCAATCTCCCTCGGCCTGGGGCTCCATGCAAGATCTCACCTCGTGGAGTTGCAATGATCATGAGAACGGTGAGGAATCAGCCCAGAACTACACGGGAGGATATTGTCAATGATCTCAAGGCAGCTGGGACCATAGTCACCAAGAAATCAATTGGTAACACACTACACCGTGAAGGACTGAAATCCTGCAGCGCCCGCAAGGTCCCCCTGCTCAAGAAAGCACATATACATGCCCGTCTGAAGTTTGCCAATTAACATCTGAATGATTCAGAGGAGAACTGGGTGAAAGTGTTGTGGTCAGATGAGACCAAAATGGAGCTCTTTGGCATCAACTCAACTCGCCATGTTTGGATGAGGAGGAATGCTGCCTATGACCCCAAGAACACCATCACCACCATCAAACATGGAGGTGGAAACATTATGCTTTGGGGGTGTTTTTCTGCTAAGGGGACAGGACAACTTCACTACATTAAAGGGATGATGGACGGGGCCATGTACCGTCAAATCTTGGGTGAGAACCTCCTTCCCTCAGCCAGGGCTTTGAAAATGGGTCGTGGATGGGTATTCTAGCATGACAATGACCCAAAACACACGGCCAAGGCAACAAAGGAGTGGCTCAAGAAGAAGAACATTAAGGTCCTGGAGTGGCCTAGCTAGTCTCCAGACCTTAATCCCATAGAAAATCTGTGGAGGGAGCTGAAGGTTCGAGTTGCCAAACATCAGCCTCGAAACCTTAATGACTTGGAGAAGATCTGCAAAGAGAAGTGGGACAAAATCCCTCCTGAGATGTGTGCAAACCTGGTGGCCAACTACAAGAAACGTCTGACCTCTGTGATTGCCAACAAGAGTTTTGCCACCAAGGACTGTCATGTTTTGCAGAGGGGTCAAATACTTATTTCCTCATTAAAATGCAAATAAATTTATAACATTTTTGACATGCGTTTTTCTGGATTTTTTTGTTGTTATTCTGTCTCTCACTGTTCAAATAAACCTGCCATTAAAATTATAGACTGATCATTTCTTTATCAGTGGACAAAAGTACAAAATCAGCAGGGGATCAAATACTTTTTTCCCTCACTGTATATACTGCATTTTATTCTATAATATTCTACTGTATCTTAGTCCATGCCACTCTGTCATTGTCATTGCTTGTCCATATATGTATATTTTCTTAAATTCCATTCCATACTAGTTTTGTGTGTATTAGGTATATGTTGTGAAATTTTTAGATATTACTTGTAAGATATTACTGCACTGTCGGAGCTAGAAGCACAAGCATTTCGCTACACCCGCTATAACATCTGCTAAACACGTGTATGTGACAAATAAAATTTGATTTGATTTGATTTGATACAAAGTATGTGGAAAAGATAATGGACCTATATCTTTTTAAAAATAATATAATCTTTGAGAACTAACAATCACCAAAATAAAAGCTAGAGAGTCGGGGAGAATTTAAAATTCCCAAAACAATGAATATAGCAGTATTCATTTTGTGACTATGTCTGAGTAAAATAACACAGCATTAGCCATGGCAAAATGCATAGAATAGCACCATTTTCTCTCAGCTCTACGGCAGAATATGTAGAATCGCAGGAAAATTGCTATAAAACTGAAACATTTTCTCTCGCCTCCATGGAAAAATGTGTAGAATTTCAGGAAATTAGCTTTAAAACTCCAAGCATTTCTCTCAGCTCCATGGAAAAATTTGTAGAATTGTATGAAATGGGCTTAAAAATGCACACATTTCTCTACACCGCCTAGAAGCGGGCCTGTACATTTTCAGGAAAATTCAGCAGCTCAGAGAGGGGCCGACCGCACCCATTGCGACGCCCATCTCCTAAGCCCCTTTTTGAAGACAAAAAGTGGTGGTTGTCAAAATAGACTATATACACTTCAAATAGGAAACACAGCATTGAGTGTGGAATGCATACAAAAATAGATGCATTCTAAACCCACATGAATTCCACCCTTGCATGTATGTTGTACAATGAGGGATTTTATCAAAACCAATTCAGCTGCCACGTTTGTGCATTCCAAAAAACCCACTGCATTCTTTCAAGGTAGATACTAACCTATAATAGTCGCCATCGTCAATAGCTGTTCCAAACTCGATAAGGCCCTCATCCAAGGTGTAGGACACAGTGTTGACCCCCTCAGTCACGATCACCTCTGTCTTACCATTGGACCTCTCCAGATCCACTATATCCCCCTGTGGAAAACAGATACACTAAATTAGCCCTATTCTCAGCACTTATAGTTCTGCCTACTAGGAGATAATTGCACTGTGTGCCTTTCACTGCACTCAGAGACTTAATCAAAGGCTCATCAAGACAGAGGAGGACAATAAGAACACAGACATTACTAAATTAATGTTTCTTAATGGCTGGTGAGGGGAAAAAGAAGAGCAGTTGGTCACATTGGGTATTAATCTTCAAGGTCTGGTCTATAAACAGAAAGTAGTCAACTCAGTAGCTCAGCCACGCGGTGACTAACGTTAGCCCTGCCAGTAGCATATGAGCTGGCCGGACCATCTCTCCCCCCCTGCCCCTGCCCTCACCTTGAGGGGGAACATGGTGGCTCTCTCTGGGCTGTCGATGTTGTACCACACACACAGGTTGCCTCTGTTCTGGCTCACCACCACGTCACTGCCAGGAACCCACTGCACGTAGGAGCAGAAACTCAACACCGTGGTCTTAACACTGCTCTCTATGTCATACAGGTGGAGCTGAGAGAGAGAGAGAGAGAGAGAGAGAGAGAGGAGAAGAATTAAAGAGTGCAGAGGATTAGGCAGTGATGCAAGGAATCACATGAAGCAGGTCTGTTACTCAAATAAACTCAAATCCGAGCAGTAATGCACCTTTCAAAACTACAATTTCACCTCTACTGGGTCCTCGACAACAAATTCTAAACCATAGCGAAACATCTGAGTACAATGAGTCACTTTTCAGTCAAAAGCTCCCAAAGGGATTCCCAATTAAAATGCTTGGCATCCTTTTCCCAGGGCGAGCACATCAAACAGGCATAGCTCTAGGCAGCCCGTTACTTTGAGCTGCTGCTGCTGCCTCACCCGCAGTTTCTTGTCCCTGAAGAGTAGCTTGCGCCCCGTCTCATTGAGCTCCAGCCAGTCAATCTTAGAGTCATGGTTGATAGTTCCCAGGTTGTAACCGCCGGCCAGATCCACTGTGAGTGGGAGGGAGAGAGAGAGGGGAGATTATTACCTGAGCTGTGCCTGTAGGCCATAGTATCAATCAATGACGGGCGGCAGCGAGACAGAGAAAGAAAACATTCTCAACTCCAGAGTTTTTGTACTAAGAAGGAAGGTGGTGTATCATGTTTAAAGCCACATTATATCTCTATTCATCTGCTAGAGACAAAAGATCAAATTAATATACAGTATGTTGTAACTGAGGGGCCTACAGAACAAAGCCATGATGCAATATGAATATATCAATTTTCGCAGTAGCATACATCCACTCTAACAAACACATCTATGAATCTCTAATGAATCATATGACAGAGAGGCCTGGCATTGCTTCTCCTTTCATTCTGTAATCAAGCCTCTGAGATGAAAAAAAAGCCTTTTCCAATTTACACCTTCAGAGCGAGGGAGGGAAGGAACGAGGAAGGGAGGGGGAAGCAAAAAAAAGAGAAAAAGAAACTGCTCCTGTCATTCAAACGGGAGAAATAAATTGGATGGAGGTTGTTTCTCATTTTCACCACCTGAAAAAAATTAACAAATGTTCGGCAGCCGACAGAAGGACATGCCTGGACTTAATTAGCAAAGGAAGTGGACAGGGTTTGGGCAGATGGCGCTCAGCTCAGCGCTGCACTGTGGCGGGGGCTTGGGACGTACTTTAGACTCTACACCGCCGCCCACCTCCGCGCCCGCCATGGGGTCAGCGCCTAATTGAAAGGCGTCTTTCTCTGGAAGCGGCATACGCCTGTTTGTCTCAGCATCTCTCTTTACCGGCCCTCACAGGCGCTAGCGTCTCAGGCTGCCCCAGGGGAGAGAGGGGAGGAGTGGGGGAAGAGAGGGACGGTGTGGGCCAGCTACAATCAAACAGTTGTTTACCTAATCAATACCTAAAGCAACGTGGGGACCAAGTCGCTTGGAGCAGCACCTGCCTGCCTTTAAATGAATGGGCATCATCCATCACAAAAAGAGCAGGTCAGTGTCTTTGTGTGTTAGACGCTCATTATCTGCAAATAAGAGTGGATGGGCGGGCTGGAACTTGGCCTGGGAGTGAAGGTGGCAGACACTTTTAGTTCAAAGATCTAGCAATTACTTCACACGGGCACTTTGGATGCAAATCACTTCACTAGATAGTAAAACGATTTTACCTTTCTGGAAAAACTAAAGGCCTGAGAATAAAAGCTGTAGTCAACAAACACCACAGTCATAACCTTGGCTTGACCTTGACCAGAAGACAACCTTTCTGCAGCACAGAAATCATGTCTTCATGTCCACGGTTCACCATCTCAGGGAGCATACACTCTGCATCATACGTATTCATGGTATGACCTTACACACACACACTTACCAATGGCAATGGTCTTGATGTCAATCAGGTAAGCTAACTTTTTGTTGCCTTCAACCCCCCTCTGTTTCCTCTCATTGAGACGAACACTAGACATGCAGACACAGTGTGGGGTAGACAGATAGGTAAGCAGAGGGGGAATGTTAATACTGAACATCCAACCATTAGCACAGAAATATCTCCAATCTGACAATCTTGACAGCCTGAATACATTAGGATGGATTTGTAATGACTAACTTTGTCCACTGAAAACTGTCTTGACAGCTGTATACAAAACACTTTCCCTTCTCATGCATTCAAAGTATGCCCGACTGTCATGTACAAACAAAGCTCAACACTACCACCTAGTGACCATTCTTCACATAAGAGTAGAAGACAGGCAAAAATGTCTCAATGACGGTGCTAGTAAGTGATTAGAAAATGCAACTGCTTTCTATAATATAATATGCTATAAATATACGCATTACAAGGAGAATGGGTGAAAGCCAACCTGATGAGATGTGGGTTCATGAACTCAGTTCTCACTGATCCCAGGATGTCGTTGCTGCCGTACTCCACCAGCGTCAGCTCCCCAGCGTTGAAAATCATACACACCTGACACAACACATCACAGTCAGCAGCTGACTCCCTACCATTAGCAGAAAATGCTGAACTCGTACATTCAAGAAGCAATGACAGGCAGTTAACAGGGACATGACGTGTATTTTATTATTCATATGTTGGGATAGCAGAACCAGAAAACTACTCACTAAAGCACATTAAAACTGCAGACAAAGCTAAACAGGGAAAGAATGGAATCATACCGTTTCATTTTCAAAGAAGAATTTTTCATTCCCCCCGGAGCCTTGCCATGCAACCTGAAAAAAGAACAGCAGAGGGGTCTTTGTTTACCCGGGGCAAGCGCGGTGGGAGTCGCTCCTTGCTTTCCACTACATTACACACACATATACTGCTGTCAGGGCCAGGGCTATTATCGCGTACGTCTGTCATTTTCAACAGCAGCACTCCTGCTCCAGTGAAGGAAGGCTCTTTGAAAACTCTCAATTAAACAGGGATTAGCACTCTGAACCGTGACAGCCCTTGAACTTTTAAAACAGGTCCTTGGAACTTCTAATAGAGCAATTTGTTTCTGACTGTGCTACAGACAATATGCAAGAATATTCGCACAGAGGAGGGGACGGTGTCTTGATTCTTTCAACTGCTCACTTCAAATTATTGTATGTATACCACACACATGAGCAGAGGCAGGTAGAGAAATAATGACTATAATTAGCAGAGTAAAGGATTAGTGAATGGCCAGACCATCATACCTCACTGAGCTTGTTGGAGGCCAGGTCTCCCAGTAGCAGGGTATCAGAAGTGTGGGCCACCAGATAGCGGTCTTTCCCCATGATCTTCACCTCGTCTATCTCATAGCCATAGTGGGACTTCAGCACCACCCGCATCCCTGTGGACAGGTTCTTTACAATCACCTGGAGAAACATTGTTCAGTTAGTTAGCCAGAGCCTCCAACCCGCAAGGAAATAAGTGACATAGCTGAAAACAGCTGTTGAGAAGGTGGTGTGATGATAAGTGCAGCTCAATACAACCATCTCTCTGAGCCACAACTCAAGGACCTGTCAGATTAACTTCAGTGTCCCCCTTTCGTTCTGAACTGAAGGTGGTGAATACCACAACGTACCTGACTCAGTCCCACATAGGTCATCTCAAATTTGTTCTTGTAGATGCTCCTCCGTAGGCAGCAGTCAAACTGTTCCACTCCCCCACACAGTGTACCCTGAACACAGGGATCGACCAGAACATGTTTATGAAGCTGTCATAAAAGTTAAAATTGCAAAAAGCTGTGAAAGGCAACTTGTAGTCTACTTTCTACAGTACTGGGAGCTAAATCAGGTATTTCATTACTGTTGCGGACAGGTGTGTTCGTTCATGTATGGTTACTCACTGCACAGAGGCGTGAGCCATCCTTCTTCCAGGCCAAGGCAGTGATGGTGTACAGGTTTGGAATCTCTTTAGGGGATGCTTCGTCCCATGCACCTTTCCGAGGACCCCAGTTGAAGACTCTCAATCTGAAATGACATAATTGAACAAAACAGCTTATCACTCACAACTTACTGCTTCCAAGCAATGTAAGATAATGTTGTAATATCATGCTTATTACTTGTATACTGATGTATCAAAATGAAGACTGACCGGTCATAGCTGCCGATGACCACAGACTGTCCACTGGGACTGGTGGCGGCCACAGTGAACTCTTTCTCCGAGCGGTCTCGGCTGTAGTCAAAGGTCTGCTGGATGTGACCCTCCCTGCCATAGGCCACTATCTTCTTGTCACATCCAGCCACTATGACACTATTGGTGCCCCATGCCAGGGCATATGGTGGGCAAGGGTGGGTCAACAATTTTCCCTGCAAAAAGATTGGAGAGACAACATGCATCAATGCACATCTACCTGATAAGATGTTTTTATCAGCGAAATGTGAGAGCAAAAGGTTTGACCCAAGGAGTATTATGAGAAAATTCCCAGGGACACATTGAAATGATTTAATGTCAGTATTGGGTACAGTACCTGAGATTCTCCTGAGCCTTCATCATCAAAGAAATATCTTACAACAGTCCCGTCTGCATGGCCTGAGAGGATGCCCTTCCCAGAAACACTGGCACACAAAGAGTTGTTCAGCATGAGAGCTACAACATCAGGCTATAACTTTGAATGAGAGGTTTGAAATAAAGTAAAAGAAAGGCACATACTTTGATGTCAATGAGACAACGTAGGAATCTGTTCCGTAGACCGTAGATGACTTGTTTGTTTTTGTGTTGGCAAGGCGAACCTGGGAGGAAGCAAACAAAACATATCAAGATCCAACACAATGTTCTGAAAATTCATAGTACTTCCTGTTATTGAAAATACTGGCAGTAAAAAAAAACATTGATTGTGTAAATGACTTACCTTTCCCTCTGCTAATCCAAAAACTATAGCGTGTTCTGCTGGCCATAGCAAACAAGTTAAAGCACTCTGAAACACAACGAGATTGGTTTTAAATTGACTTTTAAATTGACTGTTGTTTATATTTTGGTAAATAACTAAAAAGAGAGATTGAACATAGTTATACTGCATCACAGAAATGTGTGATTACTTACTGTCTGTACAAATTTGTTGCAGATGACCTTTTTCTCACCCCTGTTAGGAATAAAGTAGAAACATCACACTTGAGACAAAGAGATGGTAGAGAGGGTAATCTGTGAATCCAAATCCAGCCTAAATACAAATACCTGAAGCATTCTTACCATTCCTCTCCGATTTTGTAGACATAGATTATGTTATCAGTTTGGGCAATGGCAATTTTTGTTGAGTCAGGAGAAAATGCCATGGCCTTGACAACATAGCTCTTCTTTCCATACTGCAAGAAGATAAATATCACAAGAACATTATTGCTCTATCGAAAATCCAGATTCAGTTGCAAGCTGTGTGTGAGTGTTTCCGGGAAAAGCTTCCTGTATCAAACTGGTCAGACAAAATGTGCTGTGTACATAATTGATGAGAGGATTACATTATAGTCAAACTTGACAACTGAGATGCCTACTTACCTTAGAATCTGCAGGCTTAGTAGAGAACTTATCCCTTTTCTCTCCTTGCTCATCGTACAGTAAGACCACTCTGTCCACAGTGCATACAGCAAATTTGCCATTATTCGGTGCCCATGTCATACAAGTCACTTTTGCAGCTCCCTCCTGTGGTAAAGGGACAACAAATTGGATACAACGTCAATATAGTTACTTCACACGGGTAGCTAGCTGTAGCCTCCAGTGAACCTGGCAGTGTCCTTCTTCAATCCTGTCTCTGGACCCACACCAAAAAGTCTACACACCCTGACCCTGGCTAGGTCCCTAGGACCATCAGTTGAAGAAAATGACATAAGTTAGCTAACGTTAGTAAAAAGTTAGTTAGCTAAGGACACATACTGAGGCTTGCTAGATACTAGGGCTAGCTAGCAGCAAGCTAACGTTAGTAATCAAAGGCTTATAGTTTGCTAGCTAACGTTAGCTAAATTAGCTAACATAAGCTAGCTAGCTAACGTTAGCTGTGGTGGTTAACGTTACTAGCTACTGTAGTCGTATTAACGCGGCCGAGCTTACTTGGGGCGTTAAAAGCGTCTTCAGATGTTTTAGTTGCATGGTTGAAATCTGGAATAATCTGTGTAATTAATGTAATGTGTAGTCTTTATAAAATATAATAGAATCCCGAAGTTATTGCTGTTTACGTTAGCTAACGTTAGAATTGGGTCTGTTGATAATGAAGGCAGACATTTTTCTAAACATCCGTTCTCCCTGGTTACCGTTGTCTGGCACGTATGTGGGCAGCACGCACGAAAATATCCAGAGCTTGGATATTCTTTATTTATTTTTACATTTGACTATAAAATATTTGTAAATATAATAACAGCTAGCAAAGCTAACTTTATATTAAAACACATCAAATGAAAAACAATAGACCCGTGTTATGGAATTGCGAAAAGTAATTTCCCTTGGAGATGCCGGGGATTGAACCCGGGGCCTCATACATGCAAAGCATGCGCTCTACCACTGAGCTACATCCCCTTTCTTGATTTGCCCGACACGTATAGCTATCACGTATTAAAGACTGTTGAAAAAGTGAGCTATTACATGATTGAAAATTGTGTCATTTTTTAAAGATATGAAATTAAATTGCTAAAGTGACATTTCATGAAGAAAATGTGTCTTCTTGCATGTCTTGAAGTATTTATGTTTGTGAAATAAGTTATAATGGGGGTTAAAAAATTGCTTCGTAAGGTTGACCTGGTATTTTGGGGTGGTTTGTATGGAGTTAATATAGTGGGTTTATAGTTGGTAGCGCGCGCACACACACACACACACACACACACGTAAACAACGTACACTATCTAAAATTATATCCATAACAAATGTCCACAGACTAGGTGACAGGTCAAACACCAATGTGACACAGCAGATATCGGTGGACAAAAATAAAACACACTCAGCGTTTTACATTATCAAAGGAAAGATGTACAGGGGAGGGACAATCAGAGAGAGGGATGTGATGTTCTGTTTGTTTTGGTTGTGTTTGTTTTGATTGCGTTTCAGATAATTTTGTGCCCAATAGAAATGAATGGTAAGGTATTGTGTAATTTTGGAGTATTGTAAATAAGAAAATAATATGTTCTTAAACACTTCTACATTAATGTGGATGCTACCATGATTATGAATAGTCCTGAATGAATCGTGAATAATAATGAGTGAGAAAGTTACAGATGCACAAATATCATACACCCAATACATGCTATGAACCTCTCACCATTACAATAACAGGAGAGGTTAGTATGAATATTTGTTTTAAAAAAAAAATTATATGATATTTGTGCATCTGTAACTTTTTCACTCATCATTATTCCTGATTCATTCAGGATTATCTGTAATCATGGTAGCATGGTATCTCTTTTGGTGTTCGAGAACCATATGTTTTTTTTCCTATCATGGAGCCCATGCATATTCCATTTGATAAGTTGGATTTTATTGGTCTTTACTTGTATAGAATCAAAGGTAACCTTATCTGTTCCGTCTATCATTGAAGAACCAAGTAAAACTTTTTTAGCAGACATAACATATGAGGGCGGTGGGCATTCCATAGAATGGGAGTATCAAAGTATAAATACATGATTGTATACATTACATACAGTGGGGAGAACAAGTATGTATGATACACATTTTTGTTTTCCTACTTACAAAGCATGTAGAGGTCTGTAATTTGTATCATAGGTACACTTCAACTGTGAGAGACGGAATCTAAAACAAAAATACAGAAAATCACATTGTATGAATATGAATGAATATGCCATTTAGCAGACGCTTTTATCCAAAGCGACTTACAGTCATGCGTGCATACATTTTTGTGTATGGGTGGTTCCGGGGATCGAACCCACTACCTTGGCGTTACAAGCGCCGTGCTCTACCAGCTGAGCTACAGAGGACCACATGATTTTGTATGATTTTAAAGTAATTAATTTGCATTTTATTGCATGACGTAAGTATTTGATCACCTACCAACGAGTAAGAATTCCGGCTCTCACAGACCTGTTAGTTTTTCTTTAAGAAGCCCTCCTGTTCTCCACTCATTACCTGTATTAACTGCACCTGTTTGAACTCGTTACCTGTATAAAAGACACCTGTCCACACACTCAATCAAACAGACTCCAAACTCTCCACAATGGCCAAGACCAGAGAGCTGTTTAGGACATCAGGGATACAATTGTAGACCTGCACAAGGCTGGGATGGGCTACAGGACAATAGGCAAGCAGCTTGGTGAGAAGGCAACAACTGTTGGTGCAATTATTAGAAAATTGAAGAAGCTCAAGATGACGGTCAATCACCCTCGGTCTGGGGCTCCATGCAAGATCTCACCTCGTGGGGCATCAATGGTCATGAGGAAGGTGAGGGATCAGCCCAGAACTAAGAAAACCATTAGTAACACACGACGCCGTCATGGATTAAAATCCTGCAGCGCACGCAAGGTCCCCCTGCTCAAGCCAGCGCATGTCCAGGCCCGTCTGAAGTTTGCCAATGACCATCTGGATGATCCAGAGGAGGAATGGGAGAAGGTCATGTGGTCTGATGAGACAAAAATAGAGCTTTTTGGTCTAAACTCCACTCGCCGTGTTTGGAGGAAGAAGAAGGATGAGTACAACCCCAAGAACACCATCCCAACCGTGAAGCATGGAGGTGGAAACATCATTATTTGGGGATGCTTTTCTGCAAAGGGGACAGGACGACTGCACCATATTGAGGGGAGGATGGACAGGGCCATGTATCGCGAGATCTTGGCCAACAAACCTCCTTCCCTCAGTAAGAGCATTGAAGATGGGTCGTGGCTGGGTTTTCCAGCATGACAACGACCCGAAACACACAGCCAGGGCAACTAAGGAGTGGCTCCGTAAGAAGCATCTCAAGGTCCTGGAGTGGCCTAGCCAGTCTCCAGACCTGAACCCAATAGAAAATCTTTGGAGGGAGTTGAAAGTCTGTGTTACCCAGCGACAGCCCCGATACCTGAAGGATCTGGAGAAGGTCTGTATGGAGTGGGCCAAAATCCCTGCTGCAGTGTGTGCAAACCTGGTCAAGACCTACAGGAAACGTATGATCTCTGTAATTGCAAACAAAGGTTTCTGTACCAAATATTAAGTTCTTATTTTCTGATGTATCAAATACTTATGTCATGCAATAAAATGCAAATTAATTTCTTAAAAATCATACAATGTGATTTTCTGGATTTTTGTTTTAGATTCCGTCTCTCACAGTTGAAGTGTACCTATGATCAAAATTACAGACCTCTACCTGCTTTGTAAGTAGGAAAACCTGCAAAATCGGCAGTGTATCAAATACTTGTTCTCCCCACTGTACATAGAGCATGTGGGCTGAGCAGACATGTAGCAGTCAAATGACCTAGTGGCCTCATGGGTGGAATGTTATTAATATTTTTCATAATTTTATCATTAATAAACATTCTTTTAAAAAAGGCCCCGAAAATCCGGTGTTTCTATGTCAAACAGTTTTGTTATATTTCAGTCTTCTGTGATGTTGTGGTGTCCAAGACAATGATGCTGATCTATGCTGTGATGATAAGAAGTCCGCTTACACTGTACTTTGATTATAAAGATTTTATTTGTATCAAAGTTCACAGTATTAATTTACAGATATCTGCAGTTATATCTGGAGAGAAACGGCCAATCTGTTGATCCAATATGTTGTCTCTCCCCTTCCCTTTGTTCAGAACCTGGTATTTATATCCTATGTAACATAATATGGCGTGATTTTAATAAACCAATCCCTGGCCTCTATATAGCAGCCTTTCCTCCATTCCAAGAAACCTATGTAGTAATGCTTTCCAGATGTTTCCGCAAGCCGAGCCAAGTTTCCTCTAACACACCATTTGCAAACGTCAGCAAAATCATAAACTGTTTAGGATACTACAATGTATATAAAGTGTAATATTGGGATGCAAACTCAACATTGAATACATTTGAACTCTATATCTGACATGGTACAGGTGTCTTGTTTTTGTTAAGCCCATAACCATGTGTGTGAGGTGTATACTTTTGTTTCAAAGTAGATTTGTTTAAGACTACCAAGAAACACTCTGTGTGACGCTGATTTAGCCCAATGCAGTAAAAGGTTAACAAAAAACACACAAAAAACACATGAAAAAACACAAAGCAAAGTATGTCTTTGTACTTGGTACAATTCAAGGCCAAGTGGCTAACAATAATGCAGACACTAGGGATGGGTATGTGAGCATGCGGTTCTGGACAAATGTAGTCATTGTTTGTGTGTGTCTGTAAGTTGTTCGTATGTATAAGTTTGTATTTGGAGTGTATTTATTTTACTTTAAAAATATTAATGTAAAAAAAATAAAAAGAAACAAGAAACACAAAGATCATACACCCAAAATTTTTTGCTGTGCTCACTTGAACAGGAAGGTGGCGCGGCGTTCCTTCTTGTGGGCAAATTTTGTCATCAAACTTTGTCATCAAAGTCTGTCATTCTCTGGATTTATGTTGCTTTCAAGACAACTGGGAACTTGGAAAAAACAAGGTTGAATCATGATGACGTCAGTGATCTTCGGGTCGGAGCTCTAGAAAGAGGCCCGAGTTGCCGACTTGCAATTCCGAGTTGGATGACCGTTCAAAACGTATTTTCCTGA